CGAGGCCACGCGCCCTATAGCAAAAACTTCTCCAGAAAAAAAAAAAAAACATTTAACAAATACCACAGAAATAATTATTATCGTTATTAGCAATTAATGAAAATAAACTCAGTGGGCAAAAAAATGAACAACTTGGTAGTTAGGGTGTTGTACTCCCACATGGCCAACTGTGGTTCAAGTCTTGGCCTAGAAGCTTACTTTCTCACCTTGTCTCTCTCTGATGAGGATGTGTGTCCTATAACAAATTTAAAATAATAATAATAACAATAAATATAATTAAACAATTTGTTTAAAAATGAAACACTTAATATTCTCACAGCCCCGACGTATTTTCCTACCAAGTATGCATTAATTCCAAAGGATAAAATAGGAGCTTTGGAGTAGAAAAAGCAAGTGGGTCCCCCAATTGTCTCAACTCAGTGATCCAAAGGTGATGCCAACAGTGGTTGAGACATATTGACCTCATTTCCCCTAGTGTGGTGCCACAAGAAGGGGAACAATAGCATTTTTGAGTATACTTGCTAAAAACACATAAGCAGAATTTTTAGTACTAAAATTAGAACGATACAGAGAAGATTAGCATGGCCCCTGTGTAAGGATGACACGCAAATTCGTGAAGCGTTCCGTATTTTTTTAAAAAAATTCTGCTTATGTGTTTAAAAATGAAACACTTAACAGCCCCAACGTATTTTCCTACCAAGTATGCATTAATTCCAAAGGACAAAATAGGAGCTCTGGTGTAGAAAAAGCAAGCAGGTCCCCCAGTTGTCTCAACTCAGTGATCCAAAGGTGATGCCAACAGTGGTGAAACATATTGACCTCTTGTGCCGAAGTGAGCACAAAACACATAACGCAGAATTGAAGTATGAGGAAACATCCGGAAAATCCAAATTAAGGGATATTCTACAAATAACTGGCCAATAGTCTTCAAAAGAGTTAAGGTCATGAAGATAAAACTGAGAATTGGAGGACTCTAAGGGGATGGGACGACAAAATGCAATGCGATGAATTTCATGTAGGTTTAAGTCATAGATCCATAAAAGGACATTGTTCTTTTTTTCAGAGATATTTTTGCACTTGCCGGAGACAGAGAGAGACAGAAAGTGAGAAATCACCCCCGGAGGGGTTGGCTATACTGCAGTCCCTTCCCCTCCATTCTCCTCTCAGGATTTTAGGCATGCACACAAACATTCCTGGCGTGAGTTTTAAACCACTGGGTCCGGGACTCGAACTGCAGTCGACTCCATGGTACTACATAGTAGACATAACCATTACTCCATCTGCTGGTCAAAAAACAAAAAAGGGACATTGAACAACTAGCAAAATTTGAGCAGTCTGTAGATTGAGAATATTGTGTCTTTCTGATTTTGATAATTGTACTGTGATTATATAAAACATTAACATTTGAGAGAAATGGGTAAAGTGTATATGGAAATTATCTGTACTGTTTTTGGTGAACAACAAGTGTGACGCCAAGAAATTTTTTACTGCAGTCCCAGGAAACTGGTATAGGCACTATGCTAAATGTTTTTTCCTTTCTGCATATTATTTCATCGAGTCCTCACACAACTGTACTGTGATTTAATAAATTACTAAAATCACTTTGCAAAGAAAGAAAGTGAAGCTCAGAGGGTTTGAGGGACCTGACCAAAGTGACCCAGCTCATAACCTGAATTCAGGATTCAAAACCAGCTGGTTTCCTCCTCTGAAGCCTGCTTGCTTATGGGACCTAGTTTAAAACATGGGGGATGGGGACCAGCAGTTAGCATAATGGCTATGTCGCTGGACTCCCACGTAGTCGACCATGGTTCGAGTCCCAGACCCGGTGGCTTAAACTCACGCCGGGCGCATGTGTGTGCATGCCCAAGATCCCAAGAGGAAAATGGAGAAGGGATTGTGGTGTGACCATCCCCCCTGGAGGGTGTTTTCTCGCTTTCTGTCTGTCTCTCTCTGTCTGGCTGGAGAGTGCACGTGCCTTATAGGACAAACCTCTCCAAAAACAAAACAAAACAAAAAAACCATGGGGGATGGACCAGCAGATGGCATAGCGGTTATGTTGCTGGACTCCCACATGGCTGAGTGCTAGTTCCAATCCTGGACCCGGTAGCTTGAAAGTCACACCAGGCACGTGTGCATGTGTGCCCAAGACCCCAGGAGGAGAATGGAGGAGAAGGTATTGTGCTGGAGCCATCTCCCTGGGGGAGGGTGGGATTTCTCATTTTCCCTCTCACTGTCTCTGCCTGTCTCTCCCTCTCCAGTGAGTGCACCCATCCTAAAAACCTCTTTAAAAAAATAAAAAACATGGGGTTGACCATCTCCCAGTTTTTCCTGGTGCTCTGAGAAGATCCTTGTACTTACCGTGTGTTCTGACCCCAATCATATTTGCAAATCACTCTTGCAGTGTGTGTACCAATTAAAAGCACACAACCAGCTCGTGGGTTCTTATTTGCTAAACATCTTGCACCTCATACTAATTTTGAAACCCTGTGTATCTCATCTTTATGGTTTTGTTGTTTCCTTTACAGAAAGCTCATTTGTCGAAGCTGCCTGTGAAAGGTTCCTTTTTCCTGCTTCAGTCCGGCTTGCGTTATGAGAATGGCGCCATCTATTGCTGACTTCCTTGAACTACACCTGAAAGCACTGGGAAGGGTGTTAGAAAGCCTTTGGCAAGAGAGGGACTCAGCTGCACAGTGGGTTCTAATAAGGAAAGGAGAGGAAAGCCACAAGGTATTGGGGCACAGGAAAGGAGTGCGGGAAGTGGGTGTCAGTGCAAGGCTGTACAGCCTCTGCCGTAACCATCTGCTGTGATTCCTGGGGTGATAGGATCCGGCATTGCATTAAATTTGACAACAGGGCAAGGAGCCCCAATAGCGCACTCTGGAACTGCAGTCACTCTCAGGGGGCATGGTGTGGAGAGTGGCCATCATTTTGCCAATCTTAAAAAGTGAGAAACTAGGAAACGGGGGAACTGAGCACGCCGCTTCCAAGCATTGACAGGAAGTGCCAACATGGCTTTCCCTGCACATGCCGCTGCACCCCTGGTGCAGACAGGGAGACAGACCCTCAAGCCAGCCTTGGAGCTCCCACG